AGCAGGACTCCGCCGCTCGGGGGGCCGCCCGGAGAGGCGCGCGACTACTCCCCGTCCCGCAACCCGCAGGAGGTGGAGGCGCGGTAGGGCGCGCCCTCGAGGCCTGGCAGGAGGACCCTTTGCGAAGCTCTGCTGTAAACTTACGTCGTGGTCGTGTAAATCTCTAGGACTTAAGCACAGCTCCATCAGATCCCCGTGCCCTCGCTTTTCCACCCAGCCTGCGGAGTCGGGGACGTATACAGCTTTTCTGGGGTCACCTTTCGTTTTCTGAGCTTGAGATTAGGTTACTGGGAAAAAAATAAATCCAACTTTGTACCGTTTTCCCCACAGGTGAGGAGGGTTTTTAATGGATTTGTATTTTTCTTGATTTCGTGGTCTTTAGACACTTAAAAGAACCAAAAAAGAAACTTTTGCTTCTTCATTTTCAGTTGGGATCTGCCTGTAATGGCCTCAGATCCCACTCCAGAGCCCCAGGTCCCGAGTCTTATTTATGGAGGAGAAAACGGCCCTGCCCAGCACTGTGAGGTTCTGCACCAGGCCCGGCCCTGGCTCCTGGGTACCCGAACTTGGACCCGAACTTGCAGATATATATTAAAATAATAATAATGCACAAAAGTTTGGTTTTTGCCTTATTCTGTGATGCAGAAGTGTAAGAATTTCTTTTTTGGTTTTTTTTTAAGAGGAAATGTGTGAATAGTCTTTATATAAATATAGACGTTATTAAATTCTTAGGCGGACTTTATAAAAGTGATTTCCAGAAATTCCTCTTGTTGTTTGTTTAACGCGGTCACAGAAACCCACTGTGGGGACCAGCAGATGGTGAAATGGTTTCGTTGCTGGACTTCCATGTAGTCAGTCGACTGCAGTTCGAGTCCTGGTGGCTTAAAACTCACTCCCCGCACATGTGCATGTGTGCCCAAGATCCCGAGAGGAGGATAGTGGAGGGGTTGGGTGTGGTCATCCCCCCAGGAGGTGACTTGCTTTCTGTCTCTCTCTTGTCTTTCTGGGAAATGCATGCGCCCTATAGCAAAAATCTCTGAGAAAAAAAAAAAACTATGCAAGCTCTTCACACTCGTGGGGGGGGGACCCAGGGCCCTCTCAGCCCAAGGCCCAAGAGGGCAGCCTGTCCGTCACTGTGGGCTTCAGGACTGCCGGCCCAGCTGCGAGGACGGCTCCGTGGGCTGCTGCTAACCGAGCAATGTCCCTGAGTCTGCGTACCAGACCCAGACACACCTGCAGACGTGCCGGAGTCCGCACAGCCTGGTAGCCCTGCCCTGCCAGCAGGCGCTCAGCATCGCTCTGGGTGTGAGCACCTGTGTGTCCTGGGCCCATCTGTCCATCAGGTGGCTCCTGTGAGTCGCATCCGGGGCCTCTACTTCCTTCTTTTCTCCATTTTCAACCGTTTTCCCAACCCGACTCTGGTCCTGTGTTAGTACAGACCCACCGGCCCCTTTCTGAGCCCCACTGGCCGGTGCTTTCTGTGGCCGTGAGGCAGGTGACTGTCCGGCCTGGGCTTGAAGCCCACACGCCCTGCGTTTCCCCTCGGGGAGTGTGGCCTGGCCTCGCAGCGGTGACCTCAGAGCCAGGTGTCAGTCACGTCCCTGCGAGGCTCTGGTCCCCTTCTTTCTGCAGAGGGTGGTGGCTCTGCAGGGCCAGGTGGCCCTCAGGTGAGTGGGAGCCCGGAGCAGGGACAGGCAGGTGCAGAGGCAGTCCTAGACAGGAAAGCGGGGTGCCCACCGGAACCAGCACCAGAGCCAGCCGCGTCCTGACACCCAGCGCACTCCTTTAGGAGTGCGTCTCGCTTTAGGAGCCATGCCCTTCGCTGCCCAGAGCGAGGGACCCAAGTCCCTAAGCCGTGCCCCACAACAGGCAGAGCTGGCACTGCCCTGAGCCCGGCCGATCGCCATGGTCCTGAACTAAAGACCCGCAAGATCCACATCCTGAGAGTAAGATCCCCAGAGTAGGCAGTTCTGGGAAAAGTCACTTTTGAAATTATTTAAGAGACATTTACATTTTTAAAAGAATTCGGGAACCAGCAGTTAGTGTAATGGCTATGTCACTGGACTCTCATGTAGTCAACCGCTGTTCGCGTCCCGGACCCGGTGGCTTAAAACTCACACTGGGCACGTGTGCGTGCGTGCCCAAGATCCCGAGAGGAGAATGGAGGAGAAGGGATTGTGGCGTGACCATCCCCCCTGGGGGGTGATTTCTCGCTTTCTGTCTCTCTCTGTCTGGCAAGTGCACGCGCCCTATAGCGAAAACCTCTCCAAAAAAAAAAGAATTTATTTGGGGACCAGCAGGTGGCGTGGTGGTTAAGGTGCTAGACACTCCCACATGGCCGACCAGTGTTCGATTCGAGAATCTGGTGGCTTGCTTTCTCACTTCCTCTCTCTCTCACTCTCACTCTCTGTCTCTCTCTGGTCAAATTCAAAAATAAGTGAACGAATAAAATAAAATAAACATTTCTTAAAAAAGAATTTATTTGAAAAGCAAAACATCACAGAATACTTGCTAAAGTTTTTGTTTGGGTTTGGTTTGGTTTTTGCCATGGGGAGCATAGAGAGACAGGGGAAGTGAGAAGCACTGGGGGGCGGCCACTCCGCTGTCCCTCCTCCAGGACACTCGGCATGCACACACACCTGGCGCGGATTTTCAAGCCACCCTGCCGACTGGCGTTCACGTGCTTCATCCTCTCATTCCTCATGCTGTGAAGAACCTGTCTGGCAATGAAGACTTCCTGGTCTCCACCAACCAGAGTCCTCCGCAGGCAGCCAGGCACCCCCTGCGCTCCGCCCTCCCTGCAGCGGGGCAGCGTCCTGCCCCCTCTTTGTCATCCCAGTTTTGTCAGTGGAGCAAGCAAGGTGGGTGACACCCTGCAGCTCAGGCCTGGACCAGGAAATGCTGTGGCGGGGCCTCCCAGCTGTCGCCTGCTGTGGGGGAGGGCCAGCCCCGGTCTCTGACCCGAGGAAGCAGAGGCCCTGGGGCTGGGGCACCGAGGCCAGCGAGAGGTGAGAGGTGTGGGAGGAAGGACCGGGCCACGTGCAGTTGGAGCTGGGCGCTCCTCCCTGTACAGAGCCGCAGGCCCCAGTCTGAGCCCGCCCGCCAGCTCCCCGGTTTGCCCCGGGGAAAAGCTGTGCCGCGGCTGGTTCCAAGCTCCCGGTGCAAACCTGCTCGGCCCCAGGCCTGGTGCGAGCTGGCGCGGGGCGACGTGCGGCCGTGAGCGCACGCGGGGTGCCTCCCTGCCCCGGTCGGAAGGACCGCGAGGCCGTGGGGGGCCCCGAGTCCCGGTCTCTGCCGGCCCCGGCCGGGATCCACCTGCCTTCCCGGAGGTCGGGGCGGCACAACAGGCAGAGCTGGCACTGCCCTGAGCCCGGCCGATCGCCATGGTCCTGAACTAAAGACCCGCAAGATCCACATCCTGAGAGTAAGATCCCCAGAGTAGGCAGTTCTGGGAAAAGTCACTTTTGAAATTATTTAAGAGACATTTACATTTTTAAAAGAATTCGGGAACCAGCAGTTAGTGTAATGGCTATGTCACTGGACTCTCATGTAGTCAACCGCTGTTCGCGTCCCGGACCCGGTGGCTTAAAACTCACACTGGGCACGTGTGCGTGCGTGCCCAAGATCCCGAGAGGAGAATGGAGGAGAAGGGATTGTGGCGTGACCATCCCCCCTGGGGGGTGATTTCTCGCTTTCTGTCTCTCTCTGTCTGGCAAGTGCACGCGCCCTATAGCGAAAACCTCTCCAAAAAAAAAAAAAAAGAATTGGTGGCGTGGTGGTTAAGGTGCTAGACACTCCCACATGGCCGACCAGTGTTCGAGTTCTGAATCTGGTGGCTTGCTTTCTCACTTCCTCTCTCTCTCACTCTCACTCTCTGTCTCTCTCTGGTCAAATTCAAAAATAAGTGAACGAATAAAATAAAATAAACATTTCTTAAAAAAGAATTTATTTGAAAAGCAAAACATCACAGAATACTTGCTAAAGTTTTTGTTTGGGTTTGGTTTGGTTTTTGCCATGGGGAGCATAGAGAGACAGGGGAAGTGAGAAGCACTGGGGGGCGGCCACTCCGCTGTCCCTCCTCCAGGACACTCGGCATGCACACACACCTGGCGCGGATTTTCAAGCCACCCTGCCGACTGGCGTTCACGTGCTTCATCCTCTCATTCCTCATGCTGTGAAGAACCTGTCTGGCAATGAAGACTTCCTGGTCTCCACCAACCAGAGTCCTCCGCAGGCAGCCAGGCACCCCCTGCGCTCCGCCCTCCCTGCAGCGGGGCAGCGTCCTGCCCCCTCTTTGTCATCCCAGTTTTGTCAGTGGAGCAAGCAAGGTGGGTGACACCCTGCAGCTCAGGCCTGGACCAGGAAATGCTGTGGCGGGGCCTCCCAGCTGTCGCCTGCTGTGGGGGAGGGCCAGCCCCGGTCTCTGACCCGAGGAAGCAGAGGCCCTGGGGCTGGGGCACCGAGGCCAGCGAGAGGTGAGAGGTGTGGGAGGAAGGACCGGGCCACGTGCAGTTGGAGCTGGGCGCTCCTCCCTGTACAGAGCCGCAGGCCCCAGTCTGAGCCCGCCCGCCAGCTCCCCGGTTTGCCCCGGGGAAAAGCTGTGCCGCGGCTGGTTCCAAGCTCCCGGTGCAAACCTGCTCGGCCCCAGGCCTGGTGCGAGCTGGCGCGGGGCGACGTGCGGCCGTGAGCGCACGCGGGGTGCCTCCCTGCCCCGGTCGGAAGGACCGCGAGGCCGTGGGGGGCCCCGAGTCCCGGTCTCTGCCGGCCCCGGCCGGGATCCACCTGCCTTCCCGGAGGTCGGGCCGGCGGCGGGGGAGGCAGCAGGGCCGAGCGGACCCCGGAGCGGAGCCCGAGCGAGTCCGGCCGACGGCGCTGCGCTTGGTCCCGGGGCCCCCCCCAGCACCGAGGCCGCACTGAGCTCCGAGTCCGGGGGCCGCGCCTGACGGAAGTGGAAGCAGGGGCCGAGCGCCCGGCACGGCCTCACTTCCGGTCAGCCCTGGCTGGGGCCGGCGGAACCGGCTCGCTGCGCTTGGTCCCGGGGCCCCCCCCAGCACCGAGGCCGCACTGAGCTCCGAGTCCGGGGGCCGCGCCTGACGGAAGTGGAAGCAGGGGCCGAGCGCCCGGCACGGCCTCACTTCCGGTCAGCCCTGGCTGGGGCCGGCGGAACCGGCT